CAATGTCAAGAACCAAAGTTTTGAAATCAACACTTTGATTGAGATTTGGTTGTGCAAAACGAGATTCAATCTTTTGTGGCGATGAACAAAAACCAGGATGCTGACAGATTTATGATGTTGTGCTATATCGTTCATATCTCTCTCATCACAGAACCAATTTGTGATAATCGGGGTTTTGGCAACAACAGTTGTGTAACACTTGAGATTTTTCTCGAATCTCTGTTCCGTATACGTCAAGGGTTTCCACCTCGTTAAATGACGTTTACGTTTTGTTGGAAGTTTATAAACTTTTTTAAATTATAAGTTTTTTTTTATAAAAAAAAACATAAAGAAAAAGAAAAAAAAAGAAAAGAAAAAGAAGGAAAAAGTCAAGAAAAGAAAAAGGGGGGGTGATAGCTGTCACTCGTCTAACCTCACCCTTTTGTTTAAGGGTTATATTTTTTTTTATTCCTTGGTGGGGGGAAGAAGGGGATTGCTGGGCAGAGAAAGAAAAGAGGAAAAGAAATAAGAGAAGAAGAGGAGAAGGAGATTGGGGCAATACCTGAGAAAGGGGAGGAGACAGCATGGTTTTGGGCTGTGAATAACAGGCGGGAGCAGCAACAAGCTTCATTTTTTGCCTTCCTTTTTGTTCCCAAAATTTCAGGATTTCTCCCAAATCTTGCAATGTGAGTTCATCCTACCCCCTTTTAGAAGCTTTATACTAATCGAAATTATGTGCAATACATGTCTTATACTTTAATTCTAGGTGATTACTTGCTTGGTTGAAATAGAGATTTTAGGTCAAAGAAGTGAATTTAGGGGTCCTCTCTATAATCATAAGATGAGTTTGGAAAATGGTTCGAACCACTTGGTAAAGTACTTGTTTGAAAGTATGGTTGGGCATAAAACTCTAAAAACCCTCATGTTCCACGATTTGGAGTTAATTATTGGTAAAATGGGAATGTTCATTTGATTAAGAACTCATGCAAAAATTTGAGTGATGTACAAGAGGTTGTATGCTTATGTTAACGTATTTAAATATATCACTATGTGATGGGTTTGTAGGCATGTAAGTCATTTTATTATATTTGTGTGAAGGATGGTGTACGTTGGAAAATAGGCATTGCGATCACTATGTAATTTCCAAATCATCTTCTCACTTCCACTCGGAAATAGGCATTGTGATTATTATGTAATTTCCGAGATAAAGAGCTTAAGATCACCACCGACTACATGACTGGTTTAGGTTGATGTCAATGGTATTATACCTCTAAGTGATGCTCTATAACGTTGATTTATGACTTACTTTGTGTTCCGTCATAATTAACGGTAAATCGTGTCTCCCCCGTCATCTTCAGATGTTTTGACTCCACCCCAAGACTTTGTGAACTAATTATTCATCCAGTATCGTTTAAGGTTACGTTGTATTTATTTATATATATATAGGGGTTTCAAAGTTTTATTTATTTCACTGTTTGGACTCACTAGGCGTAAGCCTAATGATAAGCATGGTTATTACATGCTTAAAGTACCCATTTCTTGTGTTTAAAAGGTAGATTTTCCTAGTTTATCCCAACTTTGAGTCATTTTTACTTCCTTATTTTCCATTTGTTATTTTTGGAGCTAAATGTGGTGATGGATTTGTTTTTACAACAATTTGGGAGTAGATAACATCTTTTGACTTATAATACTGCACTATAATGTTGCAGCATTCCAGCAGCATTGTTTGGAACCGGTTTGGCTTTCTAGAGAAGTGCTTATTGGTTAAGCCATTGTCAAGGAAGGAAGTCTTAGCTGAAGAAGCCTTCGTTTTTGCCCTCAGCCAGCTGGTGAAAAGAGTGGGAGAAGACCTTTTGGGATGACATATTGTGATGGAGAGGATGCCACCTTTCTAGTCTTATCATTTGTACTCTTCCCCCTTTTTTATGTTTTTGTCTTTAGTATATTTTGTTTGTATAAAAGAGTGCACTGGGTGCCTCTTTTGAAGACACATCTCCTGGACAATTGTTCTCATAACAATTGTTTAAAAACTCTCTCAAACTATTAGTGTTATAAGCAAGATTTTAAGTTTAAATTAATTATTATTCTTCATATTTTGTTATTTATTTATTTACTTTTATTGTCATTTACTTTCTGTATTTACTTTTTGTATTTACTTTCTGTCATTTACTTTCAGTCATTTACATTCACGTCTTTACTTTATGTCGTTTATTTATGTCATTTACTTTTCTTAATGAGTAGCTAATTCCGTTAGCTCGGGTGTAGGGTAAAGGGTGATATGTTAAACCAAATGAAAGTGAACATTGTTTCGCAATAACAATGTTCCACTATTTCATTCAAGTTTTATAAAACCAAGCACAC